AAGAAAAGTTCTAAGTGGAACTTTGAAAGTGACAATGTAGCTGCATTAGCCCGAAAGCCAAGCTGTGCAGCAGATGACTTATGGCGAAGGTTTCTCAGGTCTTTGCTGGGGACAGAAGTCATGGGGCATAAGAGCAGTGGGTGAAGTCAAGCAGCAATGCCAAGGGGAGAAAGGGCCTGCTTCTTTCTCAGTCAGCTCTCACTTCCCATGGGAGCATGGGCTTTGGGATCAGGTGGACCTGAGGTCATGTTCTTACTTAGCTACTCACTGGCTTTGTCATCCTGGGCGGGTTATTTTACCTCCCTGAAGCTGGTTTTACGTGAGCTTAGGGCTGTCAAAAACAGATATCAAGGTTGGGAGTTAAAGCCAGTGTAAAAAAAAAAAAAAAAAACCACCAAGGCTATTAAAGGGATATTAAAGCAGGCATGGTGGTGGGTACCTGTTGTCCCAGCTACTCAGGAGGCTGAGACAGGAAGATCACTTGAGTCCAAGAGTTTGAGGCTGCAGTATGATGTGATTACACCTGTGAATAGTCACAGCAGTCAGCCAGGGCAACATAGTAAGACATTATCTCCTTAAATTTTTTTTTTAAACCAGGAACATCAGTAAATGGTAGCTGTCATCATCACTGTCATCATCATAATTTTCTACCACCCGTCTTGTCAGTGTTCACAGCAGCCTTTTCCTGTGTTAGTTCATGACTCAGATCTCTGCTAGGTGGTGTCTCCTAACACTACAGTTTGGGTAATGTCATTAACAAATCCCCAGTCCAAACAGACACTAAAGTGAGCTCGGCCTGTCTCAGGGCTGTCATTACTTCCGCAGCCTCTGACGAACCTCACTTCTGGGCTCCTAAGGATAAGCCAACGCCCCCACTCCCTTCTTTCTTTTGATGAGTCCTTGTCTCTGCACAGAGCTTCTGGTGAAGGTAGTGGGAGCTGTTCTTGCAGAGCACATGGGATTCCAAGGGCTTGGCACTGGGCCAGGATCTTGTTTCCATGGTGACTGACACTGTTTTCTCTGAAATTCTGCCAGATCCTGAAGATCTTCGTGGACAATCTCTTTGCGATCGTCCTGCTGAAGCAGGCCACAGCCGTGCGCTGCTTGGACATGAGTGCCTCCCGTAAGAAGCTGGCTGTGGTAGATGAAAATGACACTTGCTTGGTGTATGATATCGACACCAAGGAGCTGCTTTTTCAGGTGAAGTCCCTGAGGAGGACCAGGGACATCGTCATTTGATTAGAAATCCTCCTCTTGCTTTTCAGTCCCTGCAGGATGCTCTCCTGCTCTGGCCCAGGCAGGTCTCTGGGAGGAGCAGTGAGGGGCAGGGGCCAAGCACAGGCTCAGAGTCCCAGAGGCCCTGGGTCACAACCTGCTTCTCCCATGCAGGCACAAGCAGCAGGGCCTGGGCTGGCCTCTTGAACTTTGATTTCCTTGCCAATGAGATGAGCCAGCAGAGCCTTTCTTCAGCATTTACCTGAACAAGAAATGGGGCAGTGACTCTGAGGGGGCCATGTCATTGGCGCTCAGTGAATGGGGTGATGACTCCGAGGGAGGTGTGTTGTCGTTGCTCAGTGAATGGGGCGATGGATGCGCTTCCTTTGCAGAAGTCTGCGTCCCACCCGCTGCAGGCCTGCCTGTGTCTGTGCGCACCTGCACGGGAAGGAAACAGGATCAGTTTTGTCATCCAAAAGGGGGAAAGAGATGGGCAAGTCTGGCCTTCTCCTAATTCACAAGAATGCTTGAAGAGCCAGCAGCATGCGAAGTGCTTGGATCTTTGGGGGCGTAGGTGTTGTTTGGTGTCATCCAGCCCCGTGGCCGAGGAAATGTGTTATGAGAGAAGGCAGCCTGGTGGCTCCATGCCCAGGGCCTGGCTGGCTTTCTGCTGGGCTCGCGCCATTCTTTGTCTCTTTAGGTCTTTGCAGGTGCTCAGGACTGTTTTCTCGAATGAAGTTCCCCCCAAAGCTGGAGCCCCTCTTGACTGGTTACCTTGGCCACTGCAGGGTTTCCTGATGTTATAGGCAGATTCAGTCCCCTTACCAGGCTCCTCCTTGTACTCGGCGGCAGAATCGATAGCAGGAGGGGCCTGGAGTGCGGAGCAGCCTCAGTCAATTAGAAGTGGTTACCTGGCCACCTCTAGCTCGGAGGTGACTCCCCATCAGTCTCAACTCACTCCTGTCTGTGAGAGAGTAGAATGGTTCAGGGGAAGAGAGCACAGCCTTCAGGCTGACCTGGGCTTGCGTCCTGCCTGCATCCCTTACTGTGTGAGCTTAAGCAAGTTAGTGAGCCTCTCTGAGCCTTGATTACTTTTCTCTAAAATGTGATTAGTAATTGCCCCTCACAGAATTGCTGCAGGAATAAACAAGATACCACAGTG